GAGGAGGGTTCTGTTTATTTTAATAGTAAGTTTATCTAGACTTATTCTATTCAACAACTCATATTCTATATCAAATTTTAACTATCTAACAGTTGAAATTAAAATTTTTAATGCATAGATCAAGTTTACAAATTTTAATAAAATTTGAAAACCATTTAATATTTCGTTTCAATAATTAAATTCAACGTATAAAATGCGTTTATGATTATCTATCAATTTAAATCAAGGAAACAAAATATTAAATAGTTTTCAAATTTGCAGACTTGGTATATGCATTAAAAACTTTAAATTCAATGGTTAGATCATTGAAATTTTATGTCGAACATAAATTATTGAATTCTGAAATATATATATATGTTCATTCATTCTGAAGTGGATATCAGGTTTATACCTTTGCAAGTCGGGTGACATATGCAGCAGCTAATGCAGTGGCCAACAGTCCCAGCCCAAGCGTTAGCAGCTGACTATTTCCTCCAAATATATTATTAAGTTCAGATTCATCTTGCTGAAATGAAGCAGCAGTAATTACATGACGCAATCAATGAAGTTACTCTCTATCCATAAATATAAGTAAAATAAAACTATTAATTTGATGAATGGCAAAACACAAGGGCAAAAAAATCACTTCAATGATGTTTAACGCACAAAATTTGTAGGCAAATGACTAGGCATCTACCAATTGATCATTTTGAATTTACAAAAGTAATTGTAAATTCACTTGTTTCTCTCATGAGACTCTGCTGCTCTACGTCTAAAATGGCTGCCCTAACCCAGTAGAAGCTTGGTATTAGGATCCATAGGAGTGTTCACAAGCTTAACGGCCTTTTCCTGTATTTCCAACTACAGAGCCTGTTATTTATACACGTTCAAACACTTCACCCAGTTTGCTGCTTATTCCAATAGCAGTGTATCTATAACAGATCACATCATAATATTGTAATAGCAGTGTCTCCCTTTTCTCTTTTCTGTCTTTTCCCTGTAAGTAATGTTTCTTCTGCAGACTGCAGGGATCCCAATAAAACGCCTTTGTTTAATTGTTGTGTTCTCTACTTTAGTTTCCAGTTGCTATATAAGTTTTTCCAACCACCAGTAATGTATTAAAAATTCTTCATTCTCCTTTTTTCTTCCTCTGTTGTGCCTTACATGCAGTGCCAATCCCCACCTCATCCCCAAAAAATGAAAAGAAGAAAACTCTTCACAAGTCTAGTGCCACTCCCAATTGTCCTCACTGGTCTAGTCCAGCCAGAAAAGCCTAAGCAGAAAGCATCCGACTATCCATATTCAAACCAGCCAAACCATTATTGACCAAATAAATCTTAAAGAAAGAGAGCGAGACAACCTTAAAAGAACTAGAGTATAGTAAGATCATTCACAGAAATGACACCATCATCCTCCACAAAAGAATAATAGCATCATCAGCAAACAAGAGGTGAAAACATACACTCATCCGAACCTACTTTATAGCCTTTGAGGCTGGATTGGATATAGGGAATTTTTTCATTCCCAACTAATCCACTTTGCTTGGAAATTTTATAAAGTATGTTTGGTTATAATCAACATTCCCGAGAATAATATATTTACTTTCAATTATCATGAGAAAATTTAGTTAATTACGATTGGAAGTTTTATTTTATATTCATTTTTATTCTCTTCTACCAATTTATGGGAAATCTTTACTTTCATGTCACTTATCTAGGAATGTTAAAATATTCCTTACACGTGCCACTTAAGAGATACACCTCTTGCAATCATGTATGTCATCCAAATAAAGTATCAACTAGCAATCATTAAGGTCAACAACAATGGTTCTTTTGTAAACTAGAGCCCACAAAACTCTGATCTTGAAAAATGTTATTGACAATGATCATTAATCTCCCAAATTAAATGAATATACCAATTACATCCTCCTCATTACCCTAACCTTTTCTGTTTTCCTTTGTTTCAGCCAAAGGTACCTAAAATTGGCTTTGCAGTAAGCTTTCATGATATTGCCAATAAAATTGCAGTAATGTTTTCATTACAAACAATACCTAACGGTACATCAACATGTCTTTAAGCATGGTCCATTCCTTTCTTTATCACCATCTCATACCCCTCCCACAAAACAAACACAGAAAAGGATGAAAATAAGAAAACATAAACATAAAGCTAATGAAAAGCCAAAAGTATTTCCAATAATGATTGAATAACCAAGAGTACAAAAGAAATGGGAGAAAAACCAAATACAAACTCACAATTATTGCTCTTCCTAAAGCACCGGCACTAACATAAGCCCATGTTCCTGGAAGCATCCCCAACCAACTGCAGAACAATAATCAGTTTAAGACAGAAATTCACAAGAACTATCGATATACAAATGCAGTTCAAGATAAACATACTGGGACAGGTCCAAATAGATACACAACAAAGGTAATTTCATTTTAATTGCATTTCATCACAGTACAGCTATAATTTGCTTCAACAAATCAATAACAATTTATAACATACACTCTGACGATCGAAGTTCAAAGCAACGGTATTTCATGAAGCTGTGACTAGTTGGAATTGTTGGAACAAATTTTTAGATAGGTACCTGATCATAAGTTCAATGCTCTCAGTATTTTTATCAGTTCATATAAACCAGACATCAAGTCATTAACAATCATTGAAGCTATAGATATTGCATTTGCATGTCAAATATATAGTCCAGTTATGCTTTTAAGAGGTTACATTATTGTTATAAGAAACAGGGGTGATCAAAATAACCAGTTATAAAAGAAATTAACTAAATACATAATTAACCAGTTTTATAATAACCGGTTATTTAAAAAATGGTTATAAAAATTAACCATTATTAACCACAACTATTTTTTTTTATAACCAGTTTTAGTTTATCATAACCAATTTTAACTTTTAAAAACTGATTATATATCATGGTTATAGCCAAAACCAATTTTAAAATTTTAAAAAAAATTAATGGACATGATAAACATTTTTTCATTTAATTAATATTTATAAGAATTACTTTTCAATATATAAATCATATCAATTGAAAATAATATTAAATAAATATTTTTATATTATTATAGAAAATCATTTTAATTATTGGTATTTTATTTAAAAATATTAAAATTTAATTTAAAAATAAAAAGAAAATTCTCAAATATATTCTTATCAAAGAAAAGTAGCTAAAAACATTCTTGTTGAAGAATAATTTCTTAAAACGCTCCCATTCAAAATAAATATTTTAATCTATACTAATCAGGGATGATACATCTTTTTGGTGTACATTCTATTAATCGTTTTACCCTTAACTTCGAAAACATTATTTTCTCTTCCATACTTTTTTACTTAATTTTTATTCTCTTATTTTTAACTTCTTCATAATTTTATTTTTCAAACATTTCACACCCTTCAAATAATTACGCAAAACCGCTCACACCCTACTTGTTAATTACTCACATATTTAACATCAATTATTTAATTATTTATTTTATTTTCATATTTTACATAAAATTCAGAAACACAAAGTACTATTTTACGCTAATTTATATAACGAGGGTTGCTAAAATATAATAATTATTGTAAAAGTGTCTTAAATATAAAATTATTCTTTTATTTTTTTAAAAAGTGGTTATATATCTGATTTTAAAAATATAACTGGTTATTGAAAATTTAAAACCAGTAATTCTAAATCATAACTGATTATTAAAAACTGGTTATGATTAAGTTATAATAACTACACATAGATATGGTCATTAAATGGTTATGTTTAGGTTATCAAAACAGTTCAAAGACTCGTCGATCAGTAAAACTACCAAAATGTTCTAAAATATGGATTACTGAAAGAATACCAAAGATAAGATTAGTCCCTTATGCTGAAAAGAAAGAAACAATTAATTCCAATACCGACCAAAGTTTAGCATCTTGACATGAAGAAGCATGACAGTGTATATATATAACAAAGAAGGATATTGGAGGAAGTTGTTAAGAGGGATTTCATACTAAATAATATCTATGAAGCTTTGGTCTTTAACCAAGATGAAAAGCATCGTGTATCCATGTAACCGACCTCACCTAGTAGGATAAACCTTTGTTGTTGTCTATGTTAGTGCAAGGAAAAAAAACTAAGAGTTTACCACAACTACCTAATTTTAGGATAACATTCAAATGATGGTAGAGATCAAACACCAAATCCAATTTTTGGCATTATATATTAGAATATAATAGATAAGCTAAATCAAGCATAAAATGATTTTGCTCTTTGCTATTCTTTTTTTCCCATTTAGCATGGATTACACAAAAACTCGAGACAAGATATAAAGGTTACACAAGTATAATGATTTAATTAAGCACTTATTCAATAAGAACATATCACAGGAGGGCTTATAGCTTATTTTAATAAACTTCATTGTGATTGTTATTGAAATATGGTAAAAAGAGCTTATAGGAAGGTCATAAAGTCACATACATAAGTTTAGCCAAACACCTGCTTAAGTGCTTATATAATAGACAAGCTCAAATAAGCTCTTCCAATGACCCCCAGAGCCCAAAGCTTTTCTTAAATAGAAATTATTCTTCCTAATGTGATATAGTATCGAGGTTGAAATAGACAATGGACATCAGTATAACATTGGTATTGATCAGTAATAAGCACCATACCTTCCCAATACATACGGAATAAACTTAACAGATGTCAATCCATATAAATAATTCCCCAAAGAAAATGGCAGCAGAGGGCTCAAACGAAGCAGGGTCACAACCCTGAAGCCATTTTCTCCAATTGCTTTGTCAATAGCAAGAAACTTCTTATTTCCTTCTACTAGTTTTACAATACGCTCACGAGCAAAATATCTAGCAATCAGAAAAGCAACACTAGCTGCTACCTGCAATGCCTTAAAATATTAGTTTAAAAAATACATAGCAGTAGAATTAGTTAACACAGCAAAAAAACTGTGTACTTCTTAACCCGTTAATAATTTCAAATAGGATATGATGTTAAACAGCCCAATAATTCACTCATAAGTAATTACTTTGAAAAAATACTATACATTAACCTTAAAAATATTTAAAATATTTGTAGATAGTGCAGTCAACTGTTCTGAACTATATATGAATTTTGTGTGTCTTTTAACAAAATTGACTCACTGTTCCACTGATAGAGACTATGATAGTGCCGATAACTGATCCAAACAGAAGTCCAGCTGACATGGTTAATGGAATGGCAGGAATTGCAAGGATCTGGGACAACATTAAATAAACCAAAGTTAGATATTACACATGTACAGCAGAAATTTGGGAAAATGGAATGCATTGATACCTCCAATCCAGCATAAACGGCAACGAATAATGCATATCCAGCTGGACCATAACCTGGTGTGATGTTGTGGTCAAAAGATAGTAAGGAGAAGATTAGTGATGCGATGGGGAGAGAAGAGAAGGTATTAAAGAATGGAAAAAAGACCTTCAATAAAAACGGAGAGTTGGTTCAAGAAAGAATTGATGGGGTCCCTGTAGATATAGCCAACGGAGGCAAAACCACCGACAATACCGACGAGCAAGACACCGGCCAAAAGGGTGCCCTTGAAGGCGGTGGCGTCCTGGAAGTCGGTGTTGTCGGAGTCCCCTTCCCCTTCGCTCTTGGGGTTGGGGCTAAACAAGCGCTTTAAGCCAGAGTCGGAGGGCGCGGTGTTGATTTTGCCTAGTTGCTTTTTGCTCCCTCTCTCTCTCTGTCTGAGGGAAGAGCATGGGGTGAGGAAGTGAGAGCGTCTGTGGGGTGTGAAGATGAAAGAAGAATGGGGAGAGAAGCGACAGCGGTAGTGGTATGTGTAAGTGTGTGTGTGAGTGTGAGTGTGAAGAGAAGAGGAGAGGCAAGGCAGCGAGAGAGTGCGCATGTTATGAATTCAAATGCTCCACTCCCACTCGAAGTCCAACAATGGAATGAATGAAATGGATGATTCCTGAAACTCACTCTTCTTCTCGCGGGTCACTCCTCTCATTCTTTTATTTTCTTTTTTCTTTTTCTTTTCTGGCTCCCATTTACAACCACACGCCAAACCTTTATATTATCCCTCTACAAATAACACTTAATTTCAATATATCACGTAATTTATTGTAACTTCATTTATACGGTAAATATGTGTACTTTCATACATCTTCTTTCGAGATATATTTAAACAGAATGATTTTTAAGCACTTAAAAACTTTTATTAATAGAAACACTTAAAGTTTCTGCAATTAAAAATAATATCTTTAAAATTTGAACGGTTATTAAACTGATATAGATACTAATTTAATATTAATAAAATTATTATTATTATTATTATAAAAATAATATTAAATAAAT